CACACACACACACACACACACACACACACACACACACACACAACAACCACATATCCCAGAGATCAGTAAAAATACTGTTTTCATGGCAAATAATAGTTTAGAGGGCTACTTTGTGGGCCTGTTTTACCCAGCTTTAATAAAATCGATAAGTTGATTGCTGTATTTTCAGAGCATATATTAAGTTGGGCTTTGATAGTGGTGAAAGTGCACTTTTGCTTGTTATTTTGAGTGCTGCACCTTGATAATAATGGTACAAAGTATCAAATAGGCACTCACAATCTCCATGTGAAAATTATATACCCTGCTGCCTTTGTCAAGATTGGAAGCTCTTTAAAAAAAAAACAAGGAAAATAAAACACGAGCTCATTGACACATATCTTTTATCGTAGGATGTGCTCCCTTTACCCAGTGCGCGCGCGATCGCGAAATCGAAAGTGAAAGTGAACTAAGACTGCGAGCGCTCATTCAAAGGGGATTTAAATACACCACATATTGATTGCGGCGCCCTGATGTGCGAAAATTATATACAATATTAGAATGTTTGCAGGAGCGGACACAAAAATCGCGGGAGCAGATGGGAGCGTGCGGTAATGGTCAGAAATTTAGCGTGAGCGGGATCAACAAGCCCCACGCTATGACCCAGCGGCACAGTCAGTCAGTGAGCGCCGTAACAGATGAAGTCAAATCTTGCGGGATTCCATAAATAAACTACACAGAACCCCACTATTCGGTGATACAAAATTTAATACCTTGGAAAATGGCATTTAAGACTTTTTAATACTTGTTAAGGTCCTTAATTTTCTCTAAATTGATTTATCAACTTTTAATACTTTTTAAGACCCCGCGGACACCATGTAAAAAATAGAGAGAGGGGAGAAGTGGTAAATATTTCAGCTGTTTGTAACGAGGTTAATCTATAATAAATGGTATCAATTTTCATTCAGTGTTGAACCCATTAATCATTTAAGCGTGAATGAGTAAAAAATACAAAAACAGGAGATGTGCGCTATCATGGTTGAAATAATCCCTTATACACACAAAAGAATAAATGGGGGATGGAAGATAGGGTGGAGGTTAAAGAAATGAAGAACTGAAGGTGAAAAGGATAGAAAAATGGGTAACCAAAAATAAATGTGGAAGAAAATATAAAAAACAGCGATAGCAATCCAAGGATCTACACTACCCAAAATATATTGATGTTAAAAAAATTCAATTTTCTCTTTCAAATTAATGCTGTTCCATTGAACTTTCTATTCATCACAGAATCCATACATACTGTATATCATGCTTCTTGTGACTGAACACTTACAGACAAATCTGAAAAAGAAATATCACACGTGTTTGTGCTTTAGGAAGATATAATATGAAGCTATATTGTTAGCATGATGTTAGCTCTAAACTGGAGGATGATACAAGTTTTGATACAAGTTTGTTAAAATGGTAGGAGTGGGGTAATTTGAGCCGAAAGTCCTGGGGTAAGTTAAGCCAAGTGGCTCATCCCTTTTTATGATCATAAAGTATTATTTTACTGTAATTCAACATTATACTTCATTCATTTTAGACCAAGCATTTTTAATTTTGTTCTTGGTTTTGAACATCACAAGGCTCACAAAAGTCATTTTTATAAAAATTTACTTCCTTTGATATAGCATGAGGTGAAATGTTCAGTTTTACTTCAACATAATCAATGGCACAGTTTAACTCCATGTGGCTCAACTTACCCTCTACCTAGGCTCAATTTACCCCTCACTGGGGGCAAGTTGAGCCAAGAGACCACTTTTTTTGGAAAGCCAAATTTTGAAAGCAGTTTGTTTTAGATCCAAAGTGATTATTTCCCAAGGATGCACCACGTCCTGAAATTTATGTACATATTTAAGTTGGACCCATTACTGTCATGCGCTCACTTTAAACACACTGTAAGTAAAAACTGGTGCAACTCTCCCCGCTATAGTATATAATAAGTAATGTTTTTTGAGCAGCAAATCAGCATATTAGAATGATTTCTGACACTGAACACTGGAGTAATGATGCTGAAAATTCAGCTTTACCATCACAGGAATAAATTACTTTTCAATATATTAAAACAGAAACAGTTATTTTAAGTTGTAATAATATTCCACAATATTGCTGTATTTGAGCAAAAACATGAAAAGAAATCTTAACGACCCCAAACTTTTAAATGGTAGTGTGTTTCAAAGGGTCTGTTTGTTTGGTTGTGCTGAAATTCCTGGAATCACTGACTTTGTTCTCTATGGAACTTCATTTCAGGCTTTCATAAGTTTGCAGTGACAGTGATTGAATAAAATGTTTTGAAACATGGTTTCAGATAACAAGGGAGCGGGATATCTTTATGCATGTCACAGTAATAGATCTTTTTAAATATTTAGTTGTGTCAGTGTCCGTTATGTATTAGGAAAAGCCTGTCATCATTTTTTCAGAGTTGTATAAACAAATTACATCTATAAATGACAGAATGCAAATAATTAATTATATTCAGATTTACAATAATTTACATTAAGATCTCACCTCATAGTCTATCTCCAGTGTGTCCTCTTGTCCCGGACTGCGGAAGTGTTGCGTGTGTCCATCCACTGTAAAGTTGACATGTTTGTTAAAGCGCTCAATTTGAACAGAGTGCCAGTGGTGGTCGTCCAGCAGACTTCCTAGCATGACAGAAGAACGACCAGTAGACTGAGGCTTGGCATCATCTGTACAGGGACAGCAAAAGAGAGAATAGGAACCTAGACTTTGGAACTTAAAACAAAGAATTCAGCCAGGCATCTAAACTCACTGCGTCTCAGGTACTTTTCTTTAATCTCTAATTTCACTTTCTGGTCCATCAAGACATTTGAGCATGAGTGTGTATAAAATGATAGAAGGTAAATCTGAAATGTGCCCCACCCTTCTCTTTCTCTCACCCAAATTGAGATGTAAAATGAGTCTTCCTCTCTGAAGCTCCAGAGTGAGGAAATCTCCTCTCTGTCCCTCTCCATGAACCAGAACCCCTTCTGCCTGATGGCTCCTGAATCTCAGGGAAATCACGTCTTTCACTGTGCTGGTGGACTTCTGGTTGAACCGGTAGAGTAAGGCACTGCGGCCGTCGAAGTCAGCCACGTCGGACTCTGAGGAGGACAGCAAAAGGAGATCAAAGAGAATGTGAGAAGACCCTTCTCTCTCTGCACTTTCTTTGACCTTCCGAGATCTGTGCACTCTGATACTTCCTGTTGATTTTAAAATGAAGCTGTACTGAATGTTTGAATGCAGTTCACTTCTTCAGATCTTAAATATGGTATAAAACATGTTAATAGAAACTGATGGACAATGAAATGGCATGCTTCTTAATATTGTGTGTGCCAGGTTTTACCTGCATTGTGGGAAGGATAGTAGATCACCTTAAAACACTTAGGAAGGGGCTAAATAAACATACTGCATATCGTCTTAATGAAAATCTAAACATGCAGAATGTTTTGTGTGACGGTGAGGTTTAGGGGTATGGGATAGAAAAGTTCATTAGCTCAGTAAAAAAGTAATAACATTTGATGGAGAATCTCAGTTCATGTAAGGTATCACTCACTGTATGTGCAGCCATAGACCTCTAGCCGTAGACCCATTCCTCCTTTGGGGCTTCCCTCAAGGGGCAAAAGACGCATATATCGAGTTCTGATTGAGTGAGGGAGTTTGTGTTGGACCACTGTGTCTGTGTCACTGTTTCCTATAAATATCTGTAAATATATGCACAGGCACACAAAAACACACATATACAGTGATATTGGCCAGGTAGTCCTTACCAGATACTATGTTAATACTAAAATCAAAAGTATTAGGTAAACTACCATTGAAAAGTTTGGGGTTGGTAAGTTGTTTTTGAAAGCTACCATTACTGCAGTCTTCAGCATCACATGATCCTTCAGAAATCATTCTAATATGCTGATGTGCTGCTCAAGAAATCCTGCACTGCTTCATATTTCTATGGAAACAGTGATGCATTTATTGAAATAGAATTCTTTCTTAACATTATAAATGTCTTTACTGTCACTTCTGATCAATTTAATGCATTATTGACGAATAAAAGTATGAACTTATTTCTTAATTTCTCAAAAAAATCTTGACCCCAAGCTTTTGAATGGTAGGGTTCAAAAATTTACCTGCATAAAAGACTAGAATACATTTCCATTATGCCGACCAAAAAAAAAGTTTTTCCCAAAATTCTGGTCAAACAGTACAGTAAAACAAATGTGTGTTTTCAACATGGTTCAGTGACAGTTTATTAAAGGCTCTTGAACAGAACAGCTGCCATGCTAACCAGGCCCTGCAGACACCATTTAGCAAACAATGCTTTGTACGATGCAAACATTATATTAGCACAAATGATCCACTCTGAGTTTGGTTCTTTGCTCCCCAGTGATGATGAAATGAGACTAAATGATTTTCTGATGAGTTCTGACCTTCTCAGTCTTTCATCTGTGTGCTGATTCATCTCTGCTGGGGTGTTTTGTTTTGTCATTTTTATTAAAGGATCCTTGAAAATAAATCACTCCCCGAGCTTTTAGGGGGGAAGTTGCCAAATGATTTTTGGAAGGTGGCGGCCAGTCTGTTTGTCTTTCACAGAGCTAACGCATGCCGACAGCATACAAACCAGAATAAACTAATTTCCTTCATCTTGTCTGCATCATTAAAGTTAATAAAAGATCAAGGGTGTGATGAAACAATGGGAAAGTACGAGAAAACTTATATAGAGAGAAAAATCTCTCTTTTTTTTGAGGGAGAGAGTGACTGGAATGTTTGCTCATTGCCAAGTGAATTTTAAGCCCTTGCTCACAGACTGTGAGTATGAATGAACCTCTGACTAACAGTTGACAAGCTTCTAGCATGACTGAGGGGTGGTGATATTTTATATATCATTAAATATCATGTAAACTGACCTATTCAATGATCTGCTTATTAAAATACACAAATGAAAATAATGCCATAATTCTGCCAGAAAGGTGAAAGGAGTCAGAGTAGCTGATATAAACATACACACATATACATATATATATATATATATATACACACACACACAAACATATTAGGGGTGTAACGGTTCACGTAATTTTCGGTATGGGTCTTTCGGTACCACTGCACTGGAAACTTCCAGTTTTATTTATTGTTACTTTTAATAAGAAACAAAGTCTCATCTATCAAATGATGTCCTTTTTTCAAGAAATTCAAACAATAAATGCCGTTTTGGCGCTCTTTGATGTGGCGCGGCAGATCGCTGTAGCGCTTTGGTTCAAATGGCAGCGATCATCCCTTCCTCTTTACTACTAATTTTAACATGAAATAAACATGAATGAACATCTCACACCTCATGTAATCACTCAATCAGTGTTTCAACCGTGGAAAGATGGCAATAAAACAGCTTGTAAACAAAATTGTATTTAAAAAAAAATAAAAAATTCTTCTTAATGCCTAATTAGAAGCTAGTACAAAGTGACTGGTTTTAACCTTTGTGGACTGTTGTCTTTGAGGCTGTTGAACTTGATATTAATAATTAATTTAGTGAGAAAACAGCTGTGGAAAAACAAAAATCACAGACGCAAAGAAAATGGAGAGGAAATGGAAAATAAGCTAGGATGATGAAATGATTTATATAATGTAAAAGCAGAAATATGTCTCAGAATTATTACAGGCAGCAATCAGAATAAAATGTGTTCTCCTATAGATCACTGAAAGAGGGAATTATTAGAATTCTGGTTAGTTTCTTTAAATCTTACACTGAATTTCTGCTATGATTTTTCTTCAGAGAAAAAGCTTTAAAATTTCACCTTTCATAGAATCTCAGCAATCTCTGGAAAAGCCAGTCCTATACTTCTTTACTCAATTTAATGTAATTTTGGATGCTGGAAGATTGTGTCTGAATGACCTACATATTGGTTTAATGAGGATGACCAATTTTGACATACCTTTAGATATTTCCACAACAACTTTCTTAGTATCATCTCATTTGTGTTCAAAAATTTACACAGGAGACTAAGCATGAAAAAACAGTGCAACACAAAAATTCTATCCATAATTCAACAATGCTCTATGTATGTTTTATTCAGAGAAGAAGGGAATAATACAGTGCTTTTTGAACTTCCCCCAACATCCCAGTGGACGATGACAGGAAAACTTAATTTGCAAGTGATTCACCTTCTCAACTCAAGGATGAAGGGCTAGTTGTTTAATCCTTGTACTGAACAATAGGCTTAGTTTTCTGTGTTCATTTAGCGTAGGTAAAGACAGAGGAAGAAAGAGAGAGATGAAGACAGGCACAATAGCTTCTCAAAGACGTTCATTAGTGAGATACACTAAGCAGAGGTCTAAGCAACACACTGTAAATATCACTTATTGAAACTTAAATTAAATTCTTAAGCCTTGAATTAAGCTATTAAAAATGAAGATGGTACTTTGTTTAACATGCAAACAAAGTTTGTGAATTGTGAAGTTACTTTATATAAGAACTATATTTAACTTTAAATTAATCAGGCCATGTGTGTTATAGGAAGTACTGTACAAAACAAAACTCAAATAAACCTTTTAAATTCTTATTACATAAGCTGCACCGCAAATTGATCTCAATCTATCATAAAACTTGAAACATGCAAAATATAGGCCAACTACACATCCCAGGTCTTCTGAACATATTAGTATCTCCCAAAGTGGTTTATATTCACCTAAAAATGCAAGGTATGCAAAAAATCTACCAACCTAACAATCTCCATTTAATATTAAGTTAAACTTAAAAATGGCAAAATATTGTTTACCATGTACATTTTATATGGGTTTAACTAAATTGTTGTTTATCAACTTCCTTGTTTTTTATTTGCCAATGTGATGGTATTTGAATGCTCCGAGCTAAAGTGAGGGGAAGCTAATCAATATAGCTCTTTATGAAGCGCTTTCATCCCAATACAGAGTCAATACACAGACGGCAAGTATTGATTTTTAAATTATAATCATTATTATTTTGAATTTTAAAGGTACAGCTGACATTTTGTGTAATTTTTAAAGTTCAAGAGGGAGGTTAATTAACTTTGAGCTATCGACCCTTTTTTGAAAGCAGAGGTATGAAAGTTGGGAAGACGATGCATTTTCGAGCTACAAATTCTCATCTGGCTTAAGTTTACATTGTTTTTATGCATGATCCTGGTCGAGTCATACGTCTTCATTTAGCATTTGAATACTCAAAAAAACAATTATTCTAGTCCTTTGAATATAAAAAGAGAGGAAGAGATAACAGAAACATGTTGCAGCTAAAGCCTTTTCAGTGAAAAGATTCTTCACAACAGTAAGATGATCTGATTAAGCCTTTAGCGGCTTTAGCTCAACATAATCAATATTTTCCATCATCACCTCCACCTCTGTGGAAATACAAAGACATGTTGGACCACACTTAAAGAGTATCCAAAGAACTTTAGAGCCAGACAGAGACAGATCAGCATACGGGAATGGCTGGGAGAAAATATCTATAAACACATTTCTGAACTGATTCTGAGTGGTTTAATAGAATCGGTCACAACGTGATGAATCCTCCTTGCCACATTAGCTGTTGTTAGCGGCTTACGCTAAAGCTCCTCCCAGTCATTGCCAATGATTTTAAATGGACACCAAAATCTTATTATATGGGATAGAAAGTGGGCGGTTTACAGAGCAAAGGCATCAAAGCTCTTAATGAAAAAAAGAAACATTATGAAAAGCCTTGGAGATCATTGTTAAAGTTCAAAACACAACACAACTGCTCTGACCTTTTCATGTTGCTGAAGATTAAACTTGCAATCAAAAAAAAAATAAAAATCAGTTCACAATTGGAAAATTTCAATAATTACATTAATATTTTAATACCACCACCAAACATTCTACTTACATTATGGATTTAGATAATACAGACATTTCTTTCTTTCCAAACCACTGCACTGAGAAAATGTGCATTATTCATGTAAAATATTACTCAAATGTTACTTAGAAGCTCACCCTGGATGTCAGGTATTGTTATTACAGGAAACTGACAGCCGAACTTTATGGTACAAGATAAGGGACTTCCATACTTTTGCCACACCATTTTGCAACAGTATTATTTTAGTGAAAAAGTATAGGTTAATCTGCTTTACCAATTCAAGCACAGAGGAACAGATAAGAGAGAGTTCTGAAATGAAATATTGATTTTGTGTGAATGCGTACACGTGTGGGTTTGTGCAAGTCTGAGGCTTTACATCTGGTGGATCACTTGAACACGAACCAGCGGTGGAGAGAAGCAAAGGAAATCGATTTCAGAGATGTCGCAATAAGCCCAAACTAAAGAAAAGACAACTAGAGTCAATGGGAGGCACTACAGTAATCCAAACAATAACTCTGCAGAGAGCCTTCTGTCCATCTTGAGAACGTCTCGGTTACGTATGTAACCCTCTTTCCCTGAAGGAGGGAATGGAGACGTCACGTCAGTGATGACTGACGAATTGGGATCTCGCCAGAGAGACCAATCCACTTCGAGTGTAACTAAACGAGCCAATGGACATTGGCATGCGGATTTCACATCTGGCAGCAGGTGCACTGCATTAATTCATGTTTTCGCTGAGGAGCTGAGCCGGTGACCCGGCAGTGGTACAGCAACTGTGGCGATGAGACGTGACATCTCCGTTCCCTCCTTCAGGGAACAAGGGTTTCATACGTAACCGAGACGTTCCCTTTCAGTCGGTGTGTTCCCTTTCAGCCACAGGTGCTGCCCCCTCCAGTGCCCTGTGTAGGCCTCCTGATCCTTCCTATAAGGCAGACGATAAGACCGGGCTCCACACAGAGAAGGTCGACTACAGCTGTTCCTCGCAACCCAACAGTAGAACACGGCCCTAGTAATTGTACTGTAGAAATACACATATGGGATCCCAACCGGGTCACTCATATGGGCACTAGCCTCACACCAGATTTCAGGAATTCCTTGGCTGAAAGGCCTGGCGCCGGATGCTCCGCCACATCTGGCCGCAGTGCTGGAGGACTCGACAGGGTCTGCCTGGTCAGGGGACTCTCTGGAGAACTAGACGTCCAGGATGCCGCAAGCCGACTCTGAACCGGGCCTCTCAGTGCCACTACCCATTTGAGGTGAGAACACAGGAGGAAACCGGTTCGACACGTAGACTATAGAATCTAGCGAA